TTTGCAAGACCTTTAATCGACGTTTGATCAAAAACGCCTGAATGATTTTAGAAATTTAAGTCATTCGATGTATCTCAATGAGCACTATAGTTGGTTCTCAGTTTTGTGAGACGATCTTCCAAGCCGTTTCTTTGTAATTTGAAAAAAATGTTAAACTTTTCGTCCACATTTAAGCTCATTCTACCGAATCGATAAAAAAAAAAACTGTTCGAAAGATATTAGTTGGGAATGATACTGATTAGTTTTTGGTGTGAAATCTACCGAGCCGTTTCCTTGTAATTAACCGTTGAAAAAATATTAAGCCGATTTTTATGGAACTTTTTAGGGCGATATATACTATGGTCTTATGGATCTTACTGAATTATTATGGCCTTACTAGTAGTTGAATTTAAAAATTCATCAAGTTTGAGAAAATGAGTAGTTTTTTTGACGTTCGTTAAATTAAAATTAGACGATTTACTTGGTATAACGCTAGAGTACTTGATCTCAATGTACATCTAAACCATTAAGTCCTACCGAAACTGGTTCAATTATAAAAGTTATTAATTTTTGAAAATTTGCTTTTAGAAAATACTCGAGTTAACGTGTTTGTTCGTTTTCAATTATGTGTAATAAATCTACTCGGAATACGTTTAATCGCTCATAAATTAATTTATATAGTCGATTATTTACACATATCAGAAAGTTCATGTAACTTGCCTCAAGGCAAAATACCAATACCAACTAGTTTTTATTACAACTACAAATTATATTTGTATTTACAATGTTTTCAAAGTTTAATTTTTGTATTGATTGATTTTATTTTATAATAATTTTTTATTTAGATATTTGATTTGTTTCTATATCAATATATCGGATGCTGTGATTTTGGTGTGAACAATTACAATGGAAAACCAATAATAAAATAATTATATTTTGCAAACTTCTTTTTATGCGAAATATGTACATTTTGGATTTCAACAAAACGGAGTTTTAAAGCAAGAATGGCATCAGAGAATGTCCTGCACATTCCGTCTTTTTATATTATGTCCAAAATAATTAAAAATTCGTAAACGATTCAAAGTGATTAGTTAAAGAATATATCAGTATCATAAAGAATCAGTTAGTCTGTTTTTATCCTTCTGCATGAACGGTTGTGTTATTATTTACATAAACTTTTATTATAAATTCTACAGAAAAAGTTCCTTTATATGTCGATTGAAATATAAAAATAATTATAATATGATTTTACGTTGCAGTTTGCCGACAGACAGAAGCTCAAACAACATGATAATGGCGCTGGTTCTTTCGGAAGCCGATCGGCCATTATGCAATTCTGCGTACAGAGAAGGACAACTATGTCATGTGCGAGTGCGCTCGAGTACTATTTCGCACTCTGTTCCACGCATAGGAGTTAATGCGCAAGACAAGGACAAAGATATGTCGCAGGCGTAGGCCACGCCCATCACCGCCCATCACCTATCACCTAGTTGCTCTCCCCACCACTCGAATCGGCCTGCCTGCCATTGCGAGAGGATATCATTTCGTTTTCGACTGCGGCGGTGTACGGTGTACGGCTAGAAGGGTCTCGGCGAAATGGACGTAGCCGAGACCGGCTTGTTGCGTGAGTTCAACATGGTTACGAATTGAATTCAGTTTAATAGTGCGATAATTTTATACCTATTTATTTCAAGTGTTTGTAATTGTGCCCTTATCAAGTCTAATTTACATGAGAAATTGGAACTGATGCAGCACCGTTTACAGGAGAAAAGGTCAGTGATACATATTTTTGTATTAATTTCAAGGTTTTCGAGTTGATTTTGTGGGTACCGATACCGAATTTCCGTAATACGAGATCTTGTAGTTTTATTTTCAGTTTTGATCATTTTGGCTTTTCATTATACAAAATGAATTAATTGCGTGGACGCAATTACTGCGGCTTCCGAGTACATTTTGATTTATATATCACTAGAATTTTATGAATCATTTGAAATCATCCATCCATTTACACTTTCAAATATTAGTTTAAAGTAGACTGCGTTGCTTAATAGATTTTGCAAGACAAATGGGGCGGCAATGGGTCAGTGGTTAGGATTTTTTCAATATGCCAAAAATTACGATTTCTTATTAACACAGCTCTTAGATTCTTAAAATTATTTTGCTACTGGTACATATTTGAATCACCAGTTTAGTTTTTTATAAATTTGTACATCGTTTTAACATATAATTAACCCTCCGTCGGTCGGAGTGATCCGGCCAGACTTTTTTCGGCTTCAATTAAAAAAAAAGAACACTTCTAGTAATCCTATAGACTTGAAATTTCTTCACTTTTCCTAAAATTTCATTAGCTGTCCATCAATAAAAAAAATCAGGAAGAAAAAAATGTACTTTGAATTTTTTTTCGAAGCGATCGCGGTGGGCGAGATGGAATATCGGAGCGAGTATGCGCCGCGTCGGAGTTTTACGGTTAAACTGTATAAATTTTGATACTTTATCCATAACAATGTGAACAAAGTTTGTACTTATTATTGAAATCTGTATAAAATTTTGGAATACAAATGATTTATTGATTTTTTTATTGATTTTTATTGGATCTCGGAATCACTGGACCTGTCAATATTTGACAAATAATTTATTCAATACAAGTTCTAAAACAGTGTTGTAATATATAATAATTAATTCAAAATAAATAATTTTTCCCGAAATATTTGTCGACGATGTCGGTAATGATTGAAATGATTAAGAAAACAGTCGTCTTGAATTGATAAGGAGACGTCCTGATTAGTTTTTGGCACAGACAGGTCCAGCCGTTTTGATGGTACGGGGCAAAAAGTGCCAAATATGGCACTTCATTTTTTGAGAGAACTGAGCGGCGTATGATTTCAATGATTTAAAAAATGTAAAGAAGTATTTATATTTATGTTTAAAAATGTGAAGCAAGTGTTGGTCAACGCAAACATCAAATGAATTAAATAAAATCGTTATTTGAATAAAGAAGCATGATAAAATTTTATAAATACAGGTATGTTCAATGATTATTGGAAACGCGTATACGATTAAAAGAAATTTATTTTTGTAAATAGAGTTTTATATAATGGAGAGATTAAAATAACGGTATTCATTGTTTATGAAGTTATATAAATTATTACAGAATAAACCTGATGATGGAACGTATCTATTTCCGAAACGTCGTTATTAAATATCTTAAAAAAAAACAAATTGTTTTTATTATTGGATTTACTGTTTGGAAAAGAAACAATCAATATATTGAAAAAATCCAGGACTTATCTATTGAATATATATATATATATATATATATATATATATATATATATACATATATATAAAAAATAAATTTTTTTAGTAAAACATCAAATACGAACAAATAGTCCGATGAAACAATTCAGAATATTAGAATATATACAGAAAGCTAATTAACTAATAAATATAATAATTTAATACTAATGATTAGTGAAAAATAAACATACAATATCTTTCTACATCGAATTAAAAAAAATCATTGTTCATTATTATTTCTTGGTTAAATATATTTCTTACTTGTTCAGCAGGTATGCCCGATACAAGCTATACTATTAAATGAGCACATTTGGTTTGTCATCATGCTGCCCAAGAGATACAGTAGTTGCTGTTAAAGTACTTCATCAAACCCGATATTGGTTTCAATGGCACTTTTGTAGATGGTGTGTGGTGAGTGATACTCTCTTCAGCATGCTCGTCTTCTAGAGCAGGGGTCGGCAAGCTTTTAACTGTAGTGTGCCAAGCCACTCTACCAATATGATTTAGAGTGCCACCTTAATTTTGAAATATATAGTTAGGTTCTAGGGGAGAAGAATTATAACCAAATTTATCTTTTAAACATTTTTATTAACAAATAACAAGAATTTCTAATATAAACAGTGCTGGATTACCCCATAGGCCCGTTAGGCCCGGGCCTGGGGCGGCAAGTTTTTCAAAATGTAAATATTTTAAACTCGATGAAATGACACGACAATTCATTTCAAGGATAGATCCTGAAATTTTTTTTTTGTAAATTTAGAGATCATTTTCGATGAAATAGAACGTAATGCGTATTCTAATCAAATTTATTATTCGTGGGTGCCGCATTGATATTTTCTTGATGTATCATATTTAATATAATAATTATCAAACTGATAAGATTTTTTGAAGAAATATTGAAAAACTGTTCGTTTTTTTAACTTCCCGTTGGGTAAGTTATTGTAATGAGCCGAAAATCGGAATTGAAAATTTTTACATTTCTCGACGTTTTGAAGGTTTCTGAACGTTTTAGCATACTTCAGAAAAAATGGATGTGTGTGTGTGTGTATGTATGTATGGATACAAATTTTCGTCCACGTTTTCGGGCGTACGGATCAACCGATTTGAATGGTTTAAAAAACATTCGATTCCTATTGATAGGGAAAAGAGCTGATTAGTTTTTGGCGAAGGCAAGTCCAGCCGTTTCGGAGATACGGAGCAAAGAGTGCAGAAAATAGAAATCGAGTTTTTGAGTGAACGGAGCATCCGATTTGAATGATCTAAAAAACATTCAATTAGTAATGATTGGGAGAAGGGGTTATTAGTTTTTCGCAAAGGCAGGCCCAGCCATTTCGGAGATACAGAGCTAAATGTACAAAAAATGGCAGTTTTTGAGAGAACTAAGCGTCCGATTCAATTGATTCAAAGAACTTTCTGCTTGTCTTAACAAAATAATTGATTTTGGAAAAAAAATTTTTTGTTCCATTTTTTTTTTTTTTTAATTTTTATTTTTTGTATATCGAAAATAATTCAGATTTTATTTTTAATTCTGACTATAGTTTTAATATACTTTAAACAAATAATTTCAACTCTGCAATTCAGTTAATATAATTCTTATAAATATTAGACAATGTTACAATATTTATAATAATCTATTTGAAAACATTCAATATTCCTCGAACATTTCGTTACGGTACGGGAAGTTCAAGCAATTTGCCTTAAGGCACGATGCCACCCACCCCATTAGTTGTAATTTTGTTCAGGTGAATCTTATAATTAAAACGCTTTAAAAACTGTTCGATTGTTTCTAGTTTTATTTTCGGTATTAAATCAAACAATGGCGAATTAACACAATATATTCATTGTTGTTAATTAATTTATGTCATTTTTTTGTACGTGAAAATATATTTTTTTAAATATGCCTGTAGTATAAAATTAAATCTTAAACTAAAATATCTGACAATTTGGTATGCTTCCTCCAATTGCCTTTTTTTCAACTTCAGGAAGGCTAAGTAATAATAATCCTAAAAAATCATAAATAAAATTCTTTATATAACTCTACGCTTCAAGTTCTCCTGAACATTTTGACATGCCTTAGAAAAAATGGATGTATGCATGTGTTTATGCGGTTACAATTCTTTGCCAATTGGCATTCGGAAAGACGTGCTGATTAGTTTTTTGCAAAGACAGTTCCATCCATTTCGGAATAGGGAGCAAAGAGTGAAAAAAGTGCTAATTCAATTTTTCAAAAACGGAGCGTCCTATTTGAATAATTCAAGACACTTTTTACTTGTATGACGAAATAAGAACTATCGAAAATTTTGCGAGAGCATGGTCAGCGTTTTTGGTGACCCAAAAAGGTGTCATTTGGTGATAAAAAATGATCATTGACATCAAATTATTAGATTTTTTATAAAAAAATTATTAATTATTACAAATTTTGTCTTCATTATTTTGAATCATTCCGTACCAAGATTTTTAATTTTCAAAGTTTACTTCTTAGATAGTTTAATTATCCTTTGCAAGGATCAATCACCATGAATGATTCAAAAAATATTCACTTGGCTTTGACTGAGAGGCGTACTGTTTATGCCAAAGGCAGGTTTAGCATTTTTGGAGATACAGAGCGCAGAAGGTGCAAAAGTGGTCATGAAGGTTTTGAGAGTACAGATCATCCGATTGGAATGACTCAAAAAATATTTTGTTCGTGGTATTTTAGTGATATGAAGAAATGATTAGTTTTCCGAAACGGCAAGTCCACTGGTATCAAAATTTTGAGAAAATTAAAATATCTAAAATTTTCAAATAATCGAATTAATTTAGAATTTAAAAAAAAACTCGAAATTTTTGAATATCTCGGTTCTATTTATCGAGTTTAGTCCAATGTCTTTTTAATTTGTGAAATCAGTTCAGGCGTTTTTAAAAATTAAATTTTGATTTATCACATAACAAAAGCGCCTTTTAACACAAATTTTGATTATGAAGTTTTATCAAACTTTGATGAATTTTTAAAATAGTCAAATATTTTGACTCCTAATTGATATCTTTCAGAAATCTTTTTTCAATTTTAAAAATCGGTTTCTGGCTTTATTCCAAAAACGTAATATTTTTGCTTTTTTATGCTAATTTCAAACAACCGGCTCGTCCGATCGTCCGGCAGGTTTTTACCAAAAATTAATGAATACGATTTCCAACCAAGATTTTTCGAATGGTTTTTGAATTTTTAAAATCGACTTAAAATTGTAGGCTAAAACTTTGACGAATTTTTTCTCTCTTTTACTAATTACAAAAAAAAGATTGGTCGACCGTTAAACCTGCTTCCCAAAAATTTAGGTAATTATTCATTCCTTCAGTACAAGTAATTTTTTTTTGAATTATTCGGAAACCAGCCTCTCGGCTCTTTCAAAAACTGAATTGCAATTTTTGCACTTTTGTTCTGTATTTTCCAAACGGCTAAACCCGTCTTAGCCAAAAACTAATCAGAACTTTCTTATCTATGAGAAAGAAACATACATACATACACACACATCAATTTTTTTAAGGTATGCCAAAATGTTCAAAAATGTCTGAAACGTAAAAATATGCAAAAAAAATTATTTTCGATCTTTTGCGATTGCTATAATTTACGAGTACTTTACGGAAAGTTAAAAGTTGCATTTAAGTAATTTAGAATAAAATTATAGTTTAATTAAACAAAGTAAAAAATTGTTTATTAAAAAGATCAGATAGGGCCTAGGGCGGCAGAAAACTTAATACGCCACTGAATATAAACTAAACAACTTTAATGCGAACCTTGTGCCTTTTCCTTAACATTTCAAGATCCGGGGTATAATTTGTAACTTTTAATTTCACACAAGATTCTGAATGCTTAGTTGTTAATGCATATGTTTCATGTGAGAAAAAATTTGTTCACAGAGATATGTGGAACCAAAAGCTGAAAGGAGACCGCATACAATTTTCTTTAAACAATTAAATCTTTTCCGGCAATGTCATTTAACAATATAATATGGCAGTCGATTTTTCCATAGAGTCATCTTTCAGTTTTTTTTTTGTAATTCCTTCAATTTTGTTTTCCATAATTCTGAAGATATTAGTTTGATAATTTCCATTTCAAAATTATCAACATTAATCCATTCGAAAGTCAACAAATCAAACGGTATTATTGATGGATCTATTAAATCTGGTTTTATGAGGAAGGAAAATATAGGCACATAAGCTTCAAAGCGAGCTACGTTAGAAAATTAATTATAATTAAACATTTTCTCTTATTTAAAAATCACTCGATATTTCCGATTTTCCTCATTACTTTATAGAGTGCCATTCAAAACCCCATCGCGTGCCAAGCCTGGCACGCGTGCCGTAGGTTGCCGATGCCTGTTCTAGAGCATTCAAGAGGTTTGTTTGTGACTTGCAGCTGTAAAGGTCAGTGGCTAGATCTAATTTATTAGAAATATTTACACCTAGATAAAAGATAAATTTCATGCAAGGCGGCAATGGTTTGATACCAAAGTTATACTTTATTATTTATCGAAAAATATGTTACATGTTTATCTTATCTTAACAAGCTATTAAAAAGCTATTAGAACTACACCATCTTTTTCTTGAATCAACATTCTTGAATTGAGTTTTTCGATATGCCATTTTGGACTTATTATAACTGAATCATTAACATGATAATTAAATAGTTTTGTCTGATTTAGTTTAGAGGCTCAGCCTCTGAGGCTGATACGCTAAAGATTTTATCACTGGCTTTATTTTTGGAATATATTGCAAGAGCTTGAATTGAATGAGTAATAATCAGTTATTATGGAGAAGTTTACAAACGTTGAGAGCAAATATTATATAGTTATTGCTATTGCTATTCTAAGAGCCTTGTCTTTCATTATGAAGACTATTCTGAATATTGGAATTTCTATAATAGATTTTTTTTATAGATTGTTATATTTTTTCTTCACATATGATTTTCTTCTGTTCCACTTGATAATGTGTGGTGGCTATTTGACGTTTTTCATCCTGCAAATATTCATATCAATGGGTGATTCGAATAGATCATGTTTTGGATCATTTTTACAGCTTCTGGGATCTCCATCGTAATGATTTTAAATATGCTTCACCTAAAATATTCATAAATAAATTGATACAAACTGGCTGATGAATTCTTAAAATTGTATTACAAATTATTTGCTAGTTATTACTATTAGGGATTTACTTGAAATCAACCGTCACTATTTCTTTTTAATTTTACAACCAAATTAATTAGGTTGAACTTATAGTAATTATTATTTTATGCCTCGATTTATTAGTTTGTTGATCCTGGAACTATAAATGTTGTTTATTCAGTATTTTTTGTATTTCACATTCTGAGACTTGAAATTTTAAATATTTTGAGTTGATGTTTTGATGATCTTGATAAACTGGTTGTTTTCTCGACGTTCTTATAATTTTGTTCCCTAGTGTTATTACCCTGGCTCTGCAATTTCTCCTTTTTGGCTGCTGCATCTCCAATAGGTTCTTGCACTAGATGTAATTTTTGCCAAATATGTGTAATCATTCAGAAGCAGTAACCTTTCTTGATTCTTAGACACTCTGGTCACATATTGTGCATCGATATTATATTGATGATGTATTAATAATAGATAACAATTTGAATTGCTTGTGGTAATATAAAGAGTGATTTTCTTCACATAAATAGCTAGTTTCCCCAATGAGGAAGTAACGACCACTAGGTCGTAGTTTATGATAAATAAGTTGATTTTTGACTATATTATTAGATATGTTTCATAAGAAAACGTGAATATTCAATTTCTTGCCAATTCAAATACATTTTACTCTTCGGATTCTGAATGACGAATGACGCGCACGTTGCTTATACATACAAATTTGATGAAATTATACAAGTTTTATAACTGTTTTAATATTTATGAATTTGTATCAAATAATGATATGAATTATTAAATATGAATGCAAACTCAGTCTACTGTTGAATCATATTTGAATTTCAAATCATAAAGTTTTGATAAAAATACAAATGAAAATTCTTTCATTGGCATTAGCAAAGGATTTTACTTTTTACTTGTATATTTTTCATTCATGCTTGATTTTATTTCTAGTGATTTTGATAATATTTAATAAATTAATTTTATTAACTGTTCAAAAAAAAAAAGCCAAAATGATCGATAGGCAAAAGAACACCATCTATATATTATATGATTTTGCAATTTTGAACTATCAATTTATTTTTATATAATTTGTTCTACATTTTATATAATTAACAATTTAATTGAATAATGCCTGAAATTGAACAATTTCAAGCGAATAATATAAAATGTTCTATGTTGTTGGAATGTATGGTACCTCTTATCAATATGCTAACAAACATTCATTTATCTTTATTTTTTGCTCATGAAAATCAAATTTAATTTCACTTGAAATTTTTAATTTATTGATTCTTGAAAAATTGAAAAGTGAGTTCCTAGACAATATACTGAGTGAGTTTGCCATTCAATTTGTTAGCTACAGTTATAATTGTAAAGTATATTTTAGGTACGTATTTAGGTACATTGATTTTATTATATTTCTAGCTGACAACATTCACTATCCTAACCTACAATATTCAAAGTAATATATTTTTATATGTGAATGGCAAACATTATCTCGTAAAAACTTTATAAGTTAAAAATTCAATGTTGTTGAATTTTCTTAATTTGTTTGAAATATTTACATTGAAAATTATTTTAGGTTTATATTAATTTGACAGTTTTCAATTTCTAGATTGAAGGAAATTGCAATCCACTGATATTTTTAAATAGATGACATTTACTCACATGTCTTACAGTTGATTTTTCTGCTAATACACACTAGAAGCAACATCATGATTTGAACAAATCGTCGTTTGCATTATGAATAATACATAAAAACTGTTTGGGAAATCTTTGAGATCGACATTGAAATGCTTGTTGTGGCAAATGATTCATAACAAAAATTCATTTAACTTGGAAATTCACAAGTGCCGGCGCTACCGCGCTTAACGATGTGGCATTATGGACTTGCCGACATACATATTGTGGAATATGTGCATTCATGAAGGAAATAACAAGGATGCTCTGCAATTCCTACAGTGAATGAAACAATATGGACTTGCCGATATACATATTGTGGAACATGTGCATTCTTGAAAGAAATAACGAGGGTGATGCTCTACAAATCGTACAGTGAATCAAACAATGTGGACTTGTCGACATGCATATTGGGAAATATGTGCATTCCTGAAGAAAATAACTTGACAAGCAATCGTGGGCCCTAACTGAAGAGAACCATTTCAAAGAATGGAACCAATGTATTCTTACCGTAGGATTTCAAAGAGGCTGCTGCTTTTATTAAATTTGGTATATTTAGCTCGAATATTTAAAATAATTCATGTACTCTACTCTTTAAATAACAATAGTTTAATGAATTTATTTTATTTCAGAAATAATCCTCACTCGAACAATACAATATACCTTTGGTGCATTTGGTGCAAATGGATTGGCTTGAATAACTAAACACGTCAAGACGAGAACTGTTGGAAGAAAGCCAGGCAAATCAGAGGATGTATGATGACAAATCCTAGAATTACTAGTAAATGGCTACCTAATCAAAGACTTTATATCAAATATATGTAAGTTATTGTTAAACTGCTTGATAATATTTAAAAATTTTATCAGTGATGAATTTACATTACAAATTTAATTTACTCGAGTATTGCAGTCAAATAATATAAATGATTTAAAAAATTCGTCGGTAATTTTTTATATAAATTTGAATAATTAATGTAATAATTTTTTTTTTACAGAGAATACCGGCAATGCAAAACAAGAATATTAGAAAAACATCATCAGCTATGAATAGGCTGCAGCTGGCTGCTACTGCCAATTCTTGGTCAACTCTCAAATAACTGGAAGGCTCTCGTGCTCTTGATAGGTACAACAGTTAAATTCAATATTTTATTCAAATAAAACACAGTTTATATTTTTTTTATTATTATTATTATGAAGTTCTTAAATTCATTTCTTTTACAGTGAAGGTTTCGAAATAGACAATGGAATTTAGTAAAGATGGAAAGTGTTTGACACATCGTGCTCTGCCAAGGCCTAATCAAGGTTAGTAATTATAAAATAGTTATAATTACACACATGAGTATAAAAATGACAACAATTATAAGAAAGAAATACGAGTAATTTTTCATAAAATGCAATGATATTTTTAATAAAATATTGTTAATATTTAGTGTTTAATGTAACTGTATACGTACAATTGTTATTGCAATTAAATCACAAATGTTTATTTCTACATTATTTCCCAAGATTTTATTTCAAACTTAAATTTATTTATTAAGTTACTGAAATGATTGGTTTTTAATATATCATTAGAAAGCAAAATTAATGAACAATTAATTTTATTTCAGGGAAGACAAATGAAGTCGAAAATGACATTGTCTACGGCAGAGCTTTAGAAGCACCATTATCCCTGCATGGCAGCAATAGTGACCATAAGGTTGTGTGATGAAATAATTTACAATTAATACTATGAAATATTTTAGTATTTGGAAAGTAAAATATAGAAATTTTTTATTATAAATTTGGCATTGCATATCATAATGAATGGAATTGTTCAGCAACTACTAAATTTTGAATATTTGAGATCTGATGAATGATCAATCATAAATTTTTGTAATCCTTGATGAAACAATGTTTTTGCCTCTAAGTATTATTTAATCTAAATATGAACTATTGAATTAATGCAATTCATTTTATTTTTCAGTCATTTGCGATCACTATGCAAAGCAAGTGTATCAGGTCTTCAATCGGGATCTGTTTTATTAAACTCTTTGCTGCCTGCATCCTTTGTGTTGTCAATGAGGATAAAAGGTAATTAATAAAATGAAATAATTGAAATATACATACAAGAGATTTATTTTTTAAATGCTTGAATATTACTCTCAATTAAGTTAAGGTATTTAATTTAATGCAATAATTAAAAAATGTGAAAGAATTTGAAATGCTTTTACACAAATGTTGAGTCAAATAATACTTTTTTTTATTTGTTCAAGAAATTACCATTAAATAATGTTAATTCATAGAGAGATTTTTCATGTGGTAATAAAATATACAAGTATAAAAATCTATAAACAAATTCGTAAAAGTAATACAACTTAATTGAAAGAGATCATTGTATTTAAAGTATGAAGTAAGATGTGCATATATGGACTTGCCGACATACATATTGTGGATATGTGCATTCTTGAAGGAAATCACAAGGATGCTCTGCAATTCCTACAGTGATGAAACAATATGGACTTGCGATTACATATTGTAGAACATGTTGCATTTTGAAAGAAATAACTCTACAAATCGTACGGTGAATCAAACAATGTGGACTTGTCGACATGCATATTGGGGAATATGTGCATTCCTGAAGAAAATAACGTGACAAGCAATCGTGGCCCTAACTGAAGAGAACCATTTCAAAGAATGGACCAATGTATTCTTACCGTAGGATTTCAAAGAGGCTCTGCTGCTTTTATTAAATTGGTATGTTTAGCTCGAATATTTAAAATATTCATGTACTCTACTCTTTAAATAACAATAGTTCAAGAATTTATTTTATTTCAGAAATAAATCCTCACTCGAACAATACAATATACCTTTGGTGCATTGGGTGCAAATGGATTGGCTTGAATAACTAAACACGTCAAGACGAGAACTGTTGGAAAAAACCAGGCAAATCAGAGGATGCATGATTTCAAATCCTAGAATTACTAGTAAATGGCTACCTAATCAAAGACTTTGAATCAATATAGGTAAGTTATTGTTAAACTGCTTGATAATATTTAAAAATTTCATCAGTGATGAATTTATATTCCAAATTTAATTTACTCGAGTATTGCAGTCAAT